TGTGTTTCTCTGGGAACAAACATCAGCGGCACAATGTGAGCTGCTGTTCCTTGTCCCCAGGAATCCGCCGTGCACGCGCACATGTTCTGGTGTGCTGAATGTTGCCCTGGATTGGGTAGGAGAGGCTGGGGCCAGTATCTGGGCTGTCCCCAGTAGCCTTACCTGGGATCTTAGGGTTCTCTGGGGGCTGCAGTTATGGACCCCTATAGCAAGGAGCCTGGCTGGCAGCTGGAGAGTAGCTCTGCCTGGCCAGGCTCTGGTTTTGGGTGGTGTGTGCTGCTGCCACGTGCATTGCCCCACATTTTTTAGGCATGGGGTTTTTTTTACACTGGGATTTCTCAGTGTCAACTCCACCCCCTGCAAATTTGCAGTGCAAGGAATGCCTGCATGACCCATCTGCAGTGCTGCATACCACATGTGTGCGCTCATCTGGATGTGCCCTGAGAGTGCTTTTCCAGCCTTGCATTCATAAACTAGTTCTGCTTTGGCTCTCATTAAGGTCCTATGAAGTAGGATGCTATGGCAGTTGGGACTGCTTTCAATATTGGCATAAGATGATTGAAACCCTGGTCACTTGGGTCCAGGAAAGCACGGGGTGTCTTTGCCAAAGTATTAATTTGGAACAGTCCTTTCTGCCTATCAACTGTCTAATTAGATTTTATATAATACTCATCATGGTGGTACCTAACAACCTCTTTCAGCTGTCCCCACACCATCAATTGGTTACAGATTCTTCTGCCATAAACTGCAGAAAGGTGTTCACATGCACAAAAAGCAGCTGCTCTGTTCCACCCCAGAGATGTCTGATTTCAAGAGTGGGTAAAATGATTCTCATATATATATATATATAAATATGTAAAGCAACTGAGGGGGAAAAAGAAATGATCTATAGAAATATAAAATATTATGACTACTAAACTGTATACAGTAGGCCTTTTATGACAGGATCGCTCACGAACGTTGACAGGATGACAATTACATAACATTCTTATTATGTTACAAGGGGGAAAGGATGGAAGCATCTGTGTTCACTGAACACTGCAAATAAATATGAGAGCAAGATATTTTAAGAAGCTGCAACCAGATTACCTTAATCTTAGCATATATTTTAAATATGGAGTTGACTGCAAAATTGTTTGGGGATTAGCAACTATGTTCTTGAGGCAAATCTACAGCACTGTTAGGAAAGCTCTGTAAATATTCTTCACATGCAATTGGCCATTTACTAACAGAAAATGGGCTTTTTGAATTTTAATTATCAGTGTTCTAGAGTCTTAATTTTGCATATTACCCTACCAGCTGAAACAGAAATTACATTAAAAATGGGGAGAATGGGATAGAATTAATTAATAATAAGCTCTTCTATAGTTCTCCCTTCCTCTACATTCCCACCCTTCAAATATACCTATTCAAACATTTGAATGCACGCTTAGGATTGCAGCATCTCCTTTAAATGTCCCAATTCTCCAACCACATTTTTTCCGGATGCTGTTAAATATCATAGTGCTTTGGGGAGACAGTAGATGCTAAGCATCAGAGTGAAAAGAATTTGTAAAAATGGAGGAAGGAACAGAAGTTAATTACGGAAAATAGGCACTGAAACAGAGAGAGGAGGCTGTGAAACAGGAGCTTCTAAATGGCAAAGTAAACCCTGATGGGGAAACCATCTGTGGTAAATTTGAAAGGCTCATCTGCTCTGTGTGTGT